GCACCTCTGCCCTTTTGAGTTTTTGTTTTGAGATAGGGTCTTTTTTTTGGCACCGGGGATCGAACTTGGGTCCTTGCGCTTGCGGGGGGGGGGGGGTCGGCGGCAGAGCCACAGAGCTGAACCCAGGCTGAGACAGGGTCTTGCCAAATCACTGAGTAGCCCAGGCTGGGCTTGAACTTGAGAGCCTCCTGCCTCAGCCTCCTAGAGTGCTCGAATGCTAGGAGTGCACCCCAATTCCCAGCTTGCCCTGATGTTCTGACCCTGGGGATGGGAAGGGGAAATCCAGTGAAGAGAAGCAGCCTCGCAAGCATTTTGGGGGTTTGTTTTATTCTATGTGACTGGCATGGCGATGGCAGGAATCCAGGCCCCTGGTCCCGACAGTGTGGGGCCCCTGGAGAATTAACTGTACACATTTACAGCGGCCCTGAACAGGGGCCACATCTTCCTGCAAATGCCCAGGAGCCCTCAGACATGAACCCTGAGAGCCAGGCCTACCGAGATGACACAGAGCCGCCACCCCGGCCCCTGAGCAGCCCTGCTGGTCTGGAGAAGACAGAGAGACGGGAGGCTCAGCAGCAACAGCTGCACCCGGGCCGTGTCTGGGCTGCAGTCCACATCTCACGGCTGTGTCTGGATGCCCCGGGTCTGGAGTTTGTGACTGATGCCTGGTGCAGTGCTTGGCCAGAGGGCACAAGGATTAAGTAGTCTGAATAAGATAAAGGGAGGCCAGGGAGGTAGCTCAGTGGTTCTGCTGCCTGGCAAGGTGACGAGTTCGATCCCCGGTACAAAAAAAAAAGAGAAACAAAGGGCAGAAAGACGCTGTCAAGGCTCCTTGTTACTTTGCTGTTTTCTGCTGCCATGGACTGTTGCCCCCCTGTCACCCTGCCTCGGAGCCAGCCAACTATAGACTGAAACCTCTACAGCTGTGAGCTAGATAAACTTCCTCCTTTAACTGCGGGTGTCGGGTACTTTGTCTCAGTAAGGAGAGAAAAGTGACTGACACACTGTGCGTACGGCCGCCGGCAGTGACTCCTAGGCAGGCAAAGGCCAGACTGGCTCTCTGCAGCCAGCCCAGTCCTCCATGATGGTGATAGACAGACGCCCGGAACACCTGTCTTCCTGTTCTCGCAGTGTCTGGGCTGGCAGAAGCCTGGGCGAGCCACCTGCCCTTTCAAATGAGCAAGGGTGCCCCCCAGGAACATTCCTCAGTTCTCCCTCCACACAGGACTGCAGGGCAGCGACCACGCCCAAGACACGAGGGTCCAGCCCAGCCCCAGGAGGCAGCCCATGCTCCTCCCGCCTCGTGCCTCGGTCTCAGTGCCCAGGTCTCAGGGGGCAGCACGTTCGGCACCATCACAGGAGGGCAGGTGGCAGGCTCAGGTAGTAAGGACCAAGTGGGCCGTTAAAAGAGCAACTGCGCCGGTCAGGAGGCTGGTCATAGGGCTGTCAGCAGCCCACGAGAAAAGCTGCATGAAACCACGGGGTGAGTGTTTTCATTAAAATGTCACAGAAGGGAGATCTCGAGTCAGCCCCAAATTGATTAAAACACTTGGCTTCCTGCAAAACAAACGATGTAAAAGCCCAGAAGAAATGTGCAGAGGCAGAGACTCAGGAGGCACCGAGAAAACGGGTCGCTGCCACACAAGCCTCATTTACTCCTGACCCAGACTTCTCCCCGGCAAAGGAGGAGCCCGAACGTCAGCAGAGGAATGGGCAAATGCTGAGAGCAGATACACAGAGCGGAGCAAAGCTGTGCACCGCCCGGGGGTCCCCAAGTTCACCCAGAGGAGAAACGCACGAGGACAGCGACATTCTCCCCTCTTCTCAGAGGGCGCCCCTTTCTCCTTAGTGCCTGGGTCAGCACTGGGCGGAGCGCCGGGAGGGCGCCTGCGCATCCTGAGGGAGCGCTGAGAACAGCGCCACCAGGAGCCGGGAGCGGGGACTGCAGGGGCCCGGCCGGGGGTGAGAGCTCTGGAGGGCGGGGTGGGGGGAGCCGAGAGGCGCTCGGGGAAAGCGAGGCTGGGCTGCCGGAAAAGGACGATTCTGCACGAAGGGACCCGAGTCCTGACGAAAACGGCCGAGTGGGGTTCGGCGGAGCCGAGGCTGCGCTGGAAGAGCCTGGGTTGTCAGAGCAGGCAGAGGCGGCTCCGGCGGGCGGTTCGGGCACAGTGGGAGTGTTTGGGGTCTGAAGTGGCCAGCGGGACCGAGCAGAGGGTCGAGGTGGGGGTCCGAGGGACCTGCCCTGGGCGCAGAGGTCCTAGGCAGGGCGGGTTGTGGGGGCCCAGGGAGAGAGAAGAGAGAGTCAAGGAGGCGTTGAACAGCAGTGGTGACAGTGGACGTCCGCGTCTCCTTCCTGATTTTAGCGTGAAAGCTTTCAGTTTTTGTCCATTTAGTATGATGCTGGCTGTTGGTCTGTCATAGATGGCTTTTACCAGATTAAGGCAAAGACCATCTATTCCAATTTTCTGTAGGGTTTTTTTGGTTTGTTTTATCATGAATGAGTGTTGGATTTTGTCAAATGCTTTTTCTACATCTATTGAGAGGATCATGTGGTGATTGATTTGCGTGTGTTGAGCCGTCCCTGCACCCCTGGGGCGAATCCCAATTGGTCAGGGTGTGTGACCATCTTGATGATCTGCTGCATTCTGTTTGCCAGAGTCTTGTGGATTTTTGCGTCTATGTTCATTAGGGAGATTGTCCTATAATTCTCTTTTTTTGGTTGGATCCATCTCTGGTTTTGGTATCAGGGTAATGCTTGCTTCCAGGAATGAATCTAGGAGTCTTGCTTCCCTTTTAATTTCATTAAGGAGTTTGAGAAGTAGCAGCATTAGATCTTCTCTAAATTTCTTGTTGAATTCTGCAGTGAATCCATCAGAGCCTGGACATTTCTTGTTGGTAGGTGTTTAATTACATCTTCAATTTCATTGGCTGATATTGGTTTATTTAGAATTTTTATTTTAAAAACATTATTGTTATTGTTGTTGTTGTTGTTGTTGTTATTATTATTATTATTATTTTAGTTCTGGGGATTGAACTTGGGACCTTGCACTTGCGAGGCAGGCAGCCGAACCACTGAGCTAAATTCCTGGCCTTTATTTAGAATTTTTATATCTTCTTGATTCAGCTTTGGTAATTCAGATATATCCAGGAATCTGTCCATTTCTTCTGTGTTTTCCACCTTATTAGAATACAGGTTCTCGAAGCAGGTGTTGATGATCTGTATTTCTGCAGGATCTGTTGTGATTACACCTTTTTCATCCCTAATTGCATGGATTTGAGTCTTTCTTTTTTTGATAAGATTGGCTAAGGGTTTGTCAATTTTATTTAATCTTTCAAAGAACCAAATCTTCAATTCACTGAGTGTCATTTTTTTAGTCTCCATTGGATTAATTTCTGCTCTGATTTTTATAATTTCCTGCCTTATACAAGATTTGGGCTTGACTTGCTCTTTTTCTAGAAACTTGAATTTCAACATTAGGTTGTTTATTTGAGCTTGCTCTGTTTTTCTGATATGGGAATTCATTGCTATAAATTTCCTGCTCAGGACTACTTTCATTGCATCCCACGAGTTCCAGTATGTTGTATTGACATTATTATTTAATTGTAGAAACTGTCTAATTTTTTCTTTAATTTCATCTATGACCCATTGGTTGTTCAGGAGGGTGTTATTTAATTTCCATGTGTTTATGAAGTTCTTGTGGTTTCTTTTGCCATTGATTTCCAATTTCATTGCACTGTAGTCTGATAATATGCATGGGATAATTTCAGTTTCTTTGCATTTATGTAACCATGTTCTATGAGCTAGTATGTGGTCTACTTCGGAGAATGTTCCATGTGCAGGTGAGAAGAATGTGTATTCTGATGTTGTAGGGAGGAACACTCTGTACACATCTGCTAAGTCCATTTGTTCAAAAGTTTTGTTCACTTCTAATACTTCATTGCTGATTTTTTGTCCAGGAGATCTGTCTATTTGTGACAGTGAGATCCCCTATTACAACTGTATTTGGGCTTATATGATTTTTCATGCTTGTTAATATTTGTTTTATATAGTTGGATGTGCTGCTATCTGGTGGATATATATTTATGATTGTCATCTCTTCCTCTTGGATTTTTCCCTTTACAAGGATGTAGTGACCTTCTTTGTCTCTCTTAATTAGTCTTGGCTTTGAATTCACTTTGTCTACAAATAGAATAGTTACCCCTGCTTTTTTTCCGGGTTCCTGTCACATGGAATATTTTTTTCCATCTCTTGACTTTCAGTCTATGAAATTGTTTTTGAATTAAATGTGTTGCTTGTATACAGCGTATTGTTGGATTTTGCTTCTTGATCCATTCTGCCAGTCTGTTTCTTTTGATTGTTGAATTGAGACTGTTAACATTGACAGTTATAACTGATATGTATTATCTTATCCCTGTCATGTTATTTTCCTGCTGTTGGCTTCCTTCTTTCCTTTCCTGTTTAATTTCTTGCCTTACCTGGTGGATTCATTCTGTTGGGGTTCATGGAGTTGCAATTCTTGTTTTCTCTTTCTAAAATATTCTTCAGAACACTTTGGAGGGCTGATTTGGTGGTCTTGAATTTTTCAGGTGTTCTTTGTCAGGGCAGTATCTTATTTCTCTCTCAATTTTGAAAAGTAGTTTTGCAGGGTACATCAGTCTGGGTTGGAGGTTGTTTTCCTTTAGGGGTTGAAATGCTTCATCCCAAGCTCTCCTTGACTTGAAGTTGTGTTGAGAAGTTGGCTGTGATTCCTCTATAGGTGAGTTCGTTCTTTCTTTCTTTCTTTCTTTCTTTCTTTCTTTCTTTCTTTCTTTCTTTCTTTCCTCTTTTTCTTTTTTGGTGATTTGTTTCTTTTCTCTAGCATCTTTTTTCCCCTTAACGTCTTTTAATATTCTGTCCTTGTGTTGAATTTCTGGAATTTTGATTATTATATGCCTTGGGGAAGATTTTTTTTGATCATGGCTAATCCTCTGTTGGTGGCATTGTAGACTAGTGCAGCCACTGTGGAAATCAGTGTGGAGATTTCTCAAAAAAACTAAAACTAGATGTTCCATTTGACTCAGCTATTCCCCTTCTTAGTATCTTCCCTAAATAATTAAAAGAATCATACCACAGTGATATATGCACACTCATGTTTATAGTGGCACAGTTTGTAATGGCTAAATCTTGGAAACAGCCCAAATGGCCATCAACCAATGAAGAAAGAAGATTTTTTTTAATACAATGGAGTACTACTCTGCCATAAAGAAGGATGAGCTTCAGACATTTATAGCTAAATGGATGCACCTTGAGATCATACTCTTAAGTGAAATACTCTAAGTCAAATAAATTGGACACATATGTTTCTCTGGTGTGAAAAAGTGAAAGTGGAAATAAGAACTAAAATGTATAACAGATATTGGGAAATGGGAAGAAAATGTTCAAATGGGAAGGAGAACAGGGGTGGAGGGAAGGAAGGACAGGACAAGAAAAAAAGGTGAAAATAGGGTTGGAGATGTAGCTCATTGGTGCTGCACTTGCCTGGCAAGTGCAAGGTCCTGAGTTCAATTCCCAGAACTGGAAAAAAAAAAAGGGAAAATATGTACCAGACATTCCTGCCCAGTACTAGCGGGCCATGAGTGGCACATGCTTCCTTCCCTAATTTGGCTTTATTTTTTTATATTAGGAGTCAGACCAAAGCCCTGTGTGACTAACATGGGCTGTCAGATAACAGAGTTAGGCTAGCATTGCTTCTTTGCTGATGGCTGTCACTGAGACCCAAGTCCTGGCCTGTGAAGTGGCAGGGCCCTGCTGAGTTACGTGCAGCTGAGGTCAGCGTGACCCTAATTAAAACCCTTTACCCTGAATTATGGCTTCTCTGTGACCTGATGGGTTGCTTGCTATTTGCACCTGGCACCAGTACCTGTTTCTTCTATCCTAGCAAAATAAGCAGTGCCGACTCCCTGACAGCCCTGCCTGGCGCTGTTGTGCCAGGTGTCTGGCAGTGCTTCACTGGATGCCTTCAAAGCACACCCTGCTCCCTATTCCTTCCCATGGTTGTATTCAATAAACACTGGATGGACGTGGGGGCCTATGTCTTTGTTGCCTAGAGTAGCACTGATCAGTCCCAGGACCCAGCTTCTCGTTTCCTGTCTTTATTCTTTTTTTTTTTTTTTGGTACCGGGGATCGAACTCGGGTCCTCAGCTTTTGAGGCAGGTGCCAGAACCACTGAGCTAAATCCCCAGCCCGCCTGTCTTTATTCTTTATAGCCTTATGCTGTCGTGGCTCACAGGAGACCAGGACCCACCGCAGGGGTTCTGGTAATGAACCATTTCCCGTTCCTTATAAAAGTGGAAACAAAGCTTTTGTACATAGGGAGGGGAGGGGGCTTGAGGGGAGAGGAGAAGGGGAAAAAAGAGGCAGGATGTATCATGTACAGGTGCAAATTCCCTATGATAAGTGTTATTATGTATGCCTAAAATGTACCAATAAATGTTTTGCTCTAAAAAATACACAGTCTAACAAGTGAAAAGTTTGAAAGATAATTTTACCTGCATTTTAACCCTTATGAATATACACAATATGTATTAATTTTTCTTAGTAGCCTACTTCACTTTTTGTGGTTTTCCTCTTAGCCTTTGTCTTTTTAATATCCCCTTCCTAGAAATGTCTTCTGTAGAAATCCCTCTATCAACTTTCACTTCCAGTTACCCTTTTTTTTAAAAAAAATAATTTAATGGGTCTCAAAATTCTGTGACAGATTTTTGGTCAAGTTGTTTCCATTAAAGTCACTTTAAAAACTAACAACTTAAAACTGCCACACACAAAAAGAAAACAAATGGTTCACAAAACATTCTCCTTTCCTCCTGAAGGTTTTATGATGCATTGTTATCATTAACCAGTCTTTTAATATTAAAATTTAAATGGCCAATTAGGAGAAACAGTTCTAAGACTGGTCTCCCACCACTGATTAAGACCAGGGTGGCAGGTGTTAGGGGTGATGTTCATTTAGCCTTCTGAACTTTCTGGGCAGACCTGGTGACCTTGTAGCTCCAGCAGCCGTCTTGTCCACTGCTTTGATGACACCCACAGCAACTGTCTGTCTCATATCACGAACAGCGAAACGACCCAGAGGTGGATAGAGAAGCTCTTCACACACCTGGGCTTGCCTGGAACCATGCCAGCAATGGCAGCATCACCAGATTTCAAGAATTTGGGGCCATCTTCCAGCTTCTTACCAGACCGGCGATCCATCTTTTCTTTTAGCTCAGCAAACTTGCAAGTGATGTGAGCCGTGTAGCAATCCAGTACAGGAGCACAGCCAGCACTGATCTGGCCCGGATGGCTCAGCATAATCACCTGAGCAGGGAAACCAGCTGCTGCCACAGCTGGGTCATTTTTGCTGTCACCAGCAACGTTGCCACTGTGAACATCTTTGACAGACACGTTCTTGACATTGAAGCCCACAATGTCACCAGGAAGAGCTTCACTCAAAGCCTCATGGTGCATTTCAACAGACTTTACTTCAGTTGTGACATTGACTGGTGTGAAGGTGACCACCACGCCAGGTTTGAGGACACCAGTCTCCACTCGGCCCACAGGGAAGGTACCGATACCACCAATTTTGTAGACATCCTGGAGGGGCAGCTGCAAAGGCTTGTCAGTTGGGGGAGTGGGTGGCAGGATGCAATCCAAAGCTTCAAGCAGTGTGGTTCCACTGGCATTGCCATCTTTATGAGTGACCTTCCATCCCTTGAACCAAGGCACGTTAGCACTTGGCTCCAGCATGTTGTCACCATTCCAACCAGAAATTGGCACAAAAGCTACTGTGTCGGGGTTGTAGCCAATTTTCTTAATGTAGGTGCTGACTTCCTTAACAATTTACCCATATCTCTTCTGGCTGTAGGGGGGCTCAGTGGAATCCATTTTGTTAACACCAACAATGAGTTGTTTCACACCCAGCATGTAAGCCAGAAGGGCATGCTCACGGGTCTGCCCGTTCTTGGAGATACCAGCTTTGAATTCACCAACATCAGCAGCAACAATCAGGACAGCACAGTCAGCCTGAGCTGTGCCTGTAATCATGTTTTTGATAAAGTCTCTGTGTCCTGGAGCATCAGTGATAGTCACGTAATACTCGCTGGTCTCAAATGTCCACAGGGAGATGTCCATGGTGACACCACGCTCACCCTCGGCTTTCAGTTTATCCAAGACCCAGGCGTACTTGAAGGAACCCTTCCCCATCTCAGTAGCCCCTTTTTCAAACTTTTCAGTGGTTCTTCTGTTGATGCCACCACATCTGTAGATCAGATGGGCGGGAGTGGCGGACTTGCCCAAATCCATGTGTCCGATGACGGTGATATTGATAGGAGTCTTTTCCTTTCCCCTGTTGGCTTTGATTTAGTGGTGGTTTTCACTACACCTGTGCTCTCATGGCAAACCCATTGCAAAAAGCTCCAGTCACCCTTTAAAAACTTTTCACAAGTTTTTATTAGTATACCTTTATGGTGCATGATAAGTGCATTCATTGGGGGGGAATTGGTCCATATACAGATAGCATTTTGATCCTCTACACTTCCCCTCCTAATACTCTCCCTTTCTTTTGTCTAAATATTCTGCCAGATAGAGGTATACTCTCATTTGGGCTCCTTGGTGCTGGTAGACTCTGTCTGCTTAGATTCCCTTGAATAGTGGGTCTAATGCTGCTTTTGTGAGCATTATTTTTCTAGAATTTCTTTTTTCATAGGAAAATTTTACTTCTCTGTCGAAGTTTTGAGGCCAAGTTTGCCGGGTATAAAAGTCTGGGTTGAGGGCCAGGGATTTAGCTCAGTGGTTCTGCTGCCTGCCCTGCAAGTGCAAGGACCCGAGTTCGAGCCCCAGTACCAAAAAAAAAAGTCTGGGTTGGAAATTGTTTTATTTTAGGGCTTGTAAAGAGTATTGGAAGCTCTCCTGGCTTATAAGGATTATGCTGAGAAATTCACAGTTATTCTAAAGGACTCACTTTCATAGGTTATTTGCGGGGTTTTTTTAACAGTTGTAAACTGTTTTTTCTTAACAACTTTCTGTAAATTCTCTCCTTTTGTCTACTTTCTGGACTTTTGATTATGATGTATTGTGGAGAGATTCTTTTCTGATCTTAGCTATTTGAGGTTTTATGGATCTTGTACTTAAAAGCAGAATTATTTCCCTAGATTTGGACAATGTTTTGCTATAATTATAGTGCATATATATATATTTTTTCCATTAAGTTTATTGGTTCATTTTAGGTATACAATGCAGTTACATTCATCATTGGGATCGTGTACCTTTTCATGATTTATCTTGGTTCTTACTTTTTTTCCCTTTTCCCTGCCCTCTGTACACTCCCTCCACCCTTCCCTATTTCCACAGACTTTGTTTCCATGTTTTCCTTTTCTCGTATTTTTTCTTTTCCCTTCTTTCCTTCCCCCACCCCTCCCACTTCCCCTGCTCCTTTAGACCTTTTCTTCCTATTACACAATATCAATTATACATTTTTAAAATTACAATATCAAAATTTAGAGGACATTACCACAAATTTTACAGAATTTAAAAGGATATAGAAAGCATATTACAAAAACCTTTTTTGAAATAAATTTGACAACTTCTAAGAAGTACCTTGGAAGACAAATTAATGAAACTAACTGTGGAAGAAATATAAAATTTGAATAGCACCTATTAAAGAAAGTATATTCCTAGCTTGAAAACCTACCCATATGACAACAGGCTCGTATACATTTTAACTGATAAATTATATCAAACAATTAAAGCAGAAAAAAGAAGGAACACTTCTCCCCTCATTTTAGGAACTCAACATTGTGCTAATCCTAAAACTGGATAAAGATAATAGAAGAAAAACATATGAACATAGATAGAAATTTGTTTAACAAAACAAACTATTATTAGAATGATTACTCGATAATGCAAAATAGGAAGAAAAGGTCCAAAGGGGTAGGGGTAATGGGAGGGGCAGGGGAAAGGAAAGAAGGGAAGGGAAAAATGATGAGAAATGCAAAAAATGGAAAGAAAGTCTTTGTAAATAGGGAAGGGTGGAGGGCATGAAGGGAGGCCTAGGAATGGGGAAAAAAAATAAGAACCAAGATGCATCATGTAAAGGTACAATTCCCAATGAGAAATGTAATTGTGTTGTATACCTACAATGCACCAATAAAAGAATTTAATTAAAAAACCCAAAAAATAAAAAAACCCCAAACTATTAGAAGTCAGATCTGGCAGTATGTAGAAAGTGGTTTTATTATAGGGATGGCTGTGTTGGTTCAGCATTGGAAGATCCACCCCCATAAGTTATCATTTTATTTATTTATTTTTTTGTTTTTGTTTTTGGTACCAGGGATCGAACCCAGGTCCTTGAGCTTGCGCAGCAGGCGGTGAAACCACTGAGCTAAATCCCCAGCCCTAAGTTATCATTTTAACAGAGGAAAGGAAAAAGCCATATGATCCCATCAATAGTTACAGAAAAAGTACTGGACTAAATTCTACAGCTGTTCATGGTAAAAGCTATCAGGAGACTAGAAGTAGAACAGAACCTTTTCAACAGATAAGCCAGGTACTCCATACTTCCAGCAAAAATGCCTTATATGAATGGAGAAGATACAATGCTTTCTCCATAAGGCGGGGAACAAGGGCAGATAGGCCTACTCTTCATCTGTCCATTAAACTTTGAAACATAGGGCCAAACCAAAATAGTCTGGCAATAAAAAGATACAATTAGCATACAATTGGCAAGGTATAAGTAAAATCTTAATATGTAGAGGAAATGATTATCTACAGAGAAAATACTAAGAAATCTCTAGGAGCCCCTAGAACCACACATATATGGTCCACTGAGGTTTTTTTTTTTTTTTT